AGCGTGTGGAGAGGACCACCCCGAACACAAGGAGAGAGCGAGAGGGGCGTGCCGCGCTGCCTCTTTTATGGGGTTTTCTGCGCTCCCGATTGGCCGGTTTTGTATTTCCGGGCTTTTCAGCCAATCAGACGGGACCTAGTCCCGCCCCTGCTTCCGGCCGCGGCTCCTCCCCCGCAGCAGCTGCTCCCCACACGGAGGGTTCAGCGCCACGTGGAGACGCCATTTTAAGTCAGTTTTATCTGCTGACTCAAAGGACATTTCATGTTCGTGTAAGGAAATACCTGGTCCTTCACAGGCATGGGGGTTGTTGTCAGTCCAGAACAGTTACTCTCTGCTGCTTCTTCCTCCTCACACTTTTCCCTGCTCCAGCATGGGTCTTTCTCACAGGCTGCAAACCCTCAGGATAAATCTGCTCCTGCGTGTGCTTCTCTCCAGGGGCCACAGCTCCTGTCAGGAGTCTGCTGCTACAAGGACTGCAGCTCCTTCAGGACATGTCCACCTGCTCTGGTGTGGGGTCCTCCCCAAGCTGCAGTGCGGATATCTGCTGCACCACAGTCTTCTCCACAAGACAAAGGGAAATACCTGTTTTGCCATGGTCTTCTTCAGGGGCTGCAGGAAGCAGCTCCTCCCCCCCTTCATCTCTGTCCCTAGCACTCACAAAGTTGTCTCTCATATTTTTTTCTTCCCTCCTCACTGCAGGGCACTGTTTTGGCCTTTCTTAATTACATATTCTCAGAGGTGCCTCCAGCTTGGCTGATGGTTCCAGCTGTGCCCTGCAGTGGGCCTGTTGGAGCCAGGTGGAACTGGCTGGAATGGGCCATGTGTGGCGTGGGGCAGCCCCAGCCCCTCCTGGGAGGGGCTGCCCTGCAGCCCCAGCCCCCGCCACAGACACACAGGGCAGCAGTGCAGCTTGTCTTCCCGAGTACATTTCTTACTCAAAGACCAAAAGCTGAATTGAGTTTTTTCTTTGCTTTTATTTTCCTCCTGGAGGGGTTTGTCCATCCGTGTTTCTGATACAGGGGGCCTGATGAGGCTGTGTTTGTCATCTCTATATCCACTCATTTCTATAACTAGTAGACCTCTTCTGCTGTGTTTGAGACAGTATTTGTAGCTGGCAGCACTTCATCTGCAATACCTAGAAAAGCTTTTTAACTTATTTTCAAAATGAGGTTATGCAGCTCCCCTGGACACCTTGTTCTTCAATGTGGGAATTGCTTCCATTTGGCCAGGTTTGTGGCTTGAAACATTCTCCATATAATAAATTTCACAGCAGAGAACAAAGGGTTTCAATTAAAGAGCACTTGAATGGCACTTCTCTGCAAATCATAGGAATAATTTCCTCTTCAATGTTAGTGTTTCTACAGTGGAAATTTTTAAACAAATAGCCAAGGAAAGAAAACATTTTTTACAAGCTGTGCTACCCAAGCTGACCGGTTGAGCACAAATCTGAGCCCACTTGAGGAGTAGTTTCAGGAGCATGATGCAGGTGGACTGCAGTGGATACACCTGCTGTAACATCCCCCTGGCACCTGGCAGAGGTGTCCCTGTGCACAGCTGCAGAGGACACCCAGCCAGGCTGGGCCAGACATCCTGCTGACGTGACTTTACTGAAGTCAGCCACGTGTTGTCAGCAGATAATTTAGCACATCATCTGAAATGTTTGTTGCTCAGGTGAAAGATCCATGTAGTTTGGATACAGAATGATGACCTCATGTGCTGAGCGGTTGTTATGTGCGGAGCAGTGGAAAGACAGCAAATGCTTCAGGGTTCCTTGTTCCTGCATAGTGTACAATAGACTGTTTTGTTTGCATTTTTTAATGTAACTTATTATTCAAACAAAGGTCAAGTGTGTTTCTAGAAGTCCATGACACTGCAGATATGCATCTGAATTAAAACAAGCAAACAGCCTTAAAGACACAGCAAAACTTACTTTGTCAGAGCCAAAAAATATATTCTTCCTTTATGAGAAAAGAGGATTTTCTTTTCCAACCTGCACTTTTTTCCTAGTGGATTTTCAGTAAGAAAGGCAAAAAAAAATTCTCTCCTTTACTTGCACGCAGTGAAGAAGCCTACTTCTTAAAAATACTGCAGGCTTGGACATGCCAATTATTAAAATAATGTTATAATTTTCCTGCTGGCAGTACCTATACTGTACAAATAATACATTACTATTGTATTGCATCTTTTTGAAATAATGAAAATAAATTTTATAGCCCTTTTATGAAATCCTGTGTATTTCTTGCCACTATCTCCACTCATTTTCAAGCAAAATGTTCATCCTTCTGCAAATACTCAAGTCCAGATGTGCTGCAGTCTTTTGCTCCTTTTAGGCTTTCTACTCAATAGATAAAGAAGACACTCCAACTTTGCCTTTTTCATAAGTTAAGAAAAGATTTATTTCCTTGTGTCTACAGGGAGTCTAGGATGTCATTATTCCCTAGATGGCAAATGCAGGAGGAAACCAAACCCATTCGAGGTTTTGAAAGTTGTCAATATACACTGGAAACCTTGGCAACCTAAGATTGATTATGGGTATATGATTGAAGTGGATGTGAGAGTTAAGGCTGTATTTTTTTTGTTTGTTAGTTTTTCGTCTGATTACTCAAATGTCTGAGTGTGATCTGAGGGAGTGTTTGTGAGAAATCCATCCTGGGCAGGAGAGTTCAGTGCCTTGCACCACTGAGCCCTGCTATTCCCCCTTACTCCGACAACCAGCAACTCCCATGTTGGGATTAGGATTAGTGTGTAGGGTGGCTCCTGTAGCAGCTACAAAGCCAAAAATAACTCGTTCACCCAGATATTTAGAAATTCCTTGGTTTCTTTAGGAGCTTTGCAACCAGATACCTTTATGGAGCGAGCCCAAAAGTGGGTGTTAAGTTCCTGTCGGAGTCAGACTCCAACAACTGCCAATACTCAGTCTTCAAGTAAGTGGCTGGGAACTCTTTATTTCTACATAACCATTGGAGAAAGTCTCTGTAACTTAGCTCAAGTTAAAATGAGAATATGTCTTTGTAGATTGCAATTGCTGATACAAGCTCAGTCTGTATACCATAGTTCACATACATTTTTTATGAACTTATAATTGGAGCAGTTTTGGCCTCCCGCAGGTTCCAGCTTTGGAAATGAAGAGCAAACCACTCCTAAGGCATCTGCACCACCTAAAGATGTCCCCAAGGGGAGCAGCAAGAGCACTACACAGATATCGAGCAGCACAGCAACTCCACGCAGGAGCTTCCTTCCAGCACCAAAAACTGCCACAGCACCTGCTGGTAAGTGCCCCTAACTTCAGTCCTTGAAACACCACCTACATGAGGCCAAGGAATGCAGAAACCTTCTTATGAGGCTATTTTACTGCTTACTTGATTAATTGTTATGTCTTTTCGGGGCACGCCTCTCTTCAGGCTGCTGTTGCACAGCAGCTTTTTCCCCTTGCTGAAGGTGTGATCCCAGAGGCACTACCTGTCACAGATGGGTTCAGCCTTGGCTGGAGGTGGGTCTGCCTTGGAGCCAGCTGGCTTTGGCTCTGTCTGTGTGGGGGGAGCTTCTGGCATCTTCTCACAGAAGCCACCTCTGTAGCTCCCCCACTGCCAAAAACTTGCCACACAAACCCAGTACACCTGGACAACTTAATGCTTGTAAAAAAGGACTTGGTGCTACAATCAGAGAGATTGGAAACAATCTGGCAGGGAAGGTGAAGCTGAAACTGTTCACCTTATATAGCTCAGCTAAGTGAAAGTCAAGGGAGGAGGATGTGGGCTTTTGTTCAACAGAATCAGGAGTGACTCTCTTACTTTCAGAAAACTATTTACTTCTGTCATCTGCACTCACTAACTGAGGAATGGACCAATCTATCCATGCAATAGACGGATAAAATATGGTACAATTTTTTTTGTTTCCTTTTCAGGTTTTCCTCCTTTTTTTTTTTCCTCCCTCCTTTTCATTTGAGCTTCCTTTCCTCTCTTCTGTTCCCTAGCTAGGTTATATCATTTTAGGCTAAAGCACAATTTGGTTAGTATCAGATTTGCCCTTAGACATCTCAAGGAAAAGCCTTTATTTTCCAGCTAGTGGAATTGGTGTGATAAGCTTTAAAGGGTTATTTCAAGTTTCTGTAGAGGAGTTATTCTGGCCTCTGGGCTTCTTTTGTCATAGGCAAGAAGACTGTTAGAAACCCTGGGTCTTTTGACTACTTGTGCTGCCTCACATGGGTGAGTCTTTGCTAGGGAGGTTTCAGTTTTGGAACACTGCAATGAGCTGGAACCGTGGTGTTTGATATGCAATCATGGATAATGTGGGCAGGCAAAATCTAGCACAGGCAGGGCTAATTAAGTGATTCAGGTTGTCACCTCCAAGTCTGCACAAGTTCCAAATCTTAGACCAACACAGGAGAGCAGAAATCACAACTTCATGCAAAGCAATATTGATCAAACAGTAGGTTTCCAGAGAGAAGATAATGTTTGCTGTCACATCAGTGCACAAACTGTGTTGAAGGGGAGGACAATTATGGAGGCTGGTGGAAAGCTAAAGTTGAGTTTTAATTTGGGTTTTTAATCTGTTAAATTATTTAATTTATGAAATGAAAGACTAATTTTTTGCTGAATTTTACTACCTGTGGAGACAAAGCTGAAACATAAAAGTCTATATAGATGTGGATGTAAATTTTGAAAGTCTGCATGTACAGACACTGTAAAATGTCTGCCTGTAATGCTGTTGCAAAGTGGAAAGAACAACCATCGGCACAAGAAATCAGTCTACACTGGGCGAGTCTGAAATTGTTTCTGGACATCACAGGGCAGGAGATGGATAACAATAAGGGAGCAGAGAAGTAAAATCAGTGTTTCAAAAATTCTGAAGGTATGCCAAAAATTAATACACACCACCCCCATACCTTGTGATACTGACTGGCACGTCATAAAGATGCTGAACGTCATGCAAGGGCAGGCAGCCTCATCACTGCTCCAAAGAAACCTTCCTTGTTATGGGATTTTATGGATGTATGTTACAGCATTCCAGCTTGGTTGTTATTCTTATTTAATGTTTACCTGACAAGTGACTTTTATTCCCCATAAGAAATCTAATAATTTTTGTGCAATGACAGTAGCAATAAGGAATTCCTTTGAACAGCTTGTTTCGACTTGGCCCATTAAATTAAAGATAATCAAAAGCACTGTTCAAAAAACTCACCCAGTCAATTCCTGTGCTTTTACAAGTGCCAGTAAATCATATGTAACAGGGCAGGCTGTTAAAAAACAATCAGTCAAAATGAAAAATAGGAGGCCAGTGTTATCACAGCTCTCGCCAGCAAGCTTGCAGTGTAAAATGTGCTTCCTTTAATCAGTGTCTGCAAAATCCAGACAACACAACCTCAGCAGGAGGGAGAGGGATCAGCTAAGGTCAGCTGAGGGGGGTAAAATGAGGACCAAGGAGAAGAGTTTGCTGCTGCTTTGTTCCCCTTTGCAAACACTTTCTGTTAAAAGTTGAATAGTGAATGCACGGTGGGTTACATTCACATTGTTCCTGTGCTTGAACATAGGGATACACAGCACTATGCTGCAGGTTGAAAGTGAGATGTTCAGCTGCAAGTTTTCCAGCCTCTGTCCTGGGAACCACTCTGAAACATGCCATAGCACAGCTTCATGAGGAAGTGTCAATAAAATGCCATGGGATCATCCAAGTCAAATGACAGGAAAGAGGGAGTAGTTGTTTTAACTCTGCCGTTAACATTGGATGTTCAGAGTTACCCTGAGTTTTTCTATTCACTTCAAAGAATGGTTCATTTTGCCAGGTTCTTTATTTCCTTTAGTTTTTTGTTGTGTTGGGTTTTTTTTAATACCAGATACAGACTCATTTCTTCTTAATATAGAAAGAAAACAAACACTTCCAGACAATTGAATAGTATTTTTTTTTCTCATCAAATTGACTTTAAATTTTAAGCAAACACAAAGGGAGAAGCACAAGCACTGGAAATTTCTACTTCAATGGATACATACAGCCTTTCTTCTTACTTATTCACAGCCTTTCAGTGTCTCATAGATCACAGAGAATCTCTAGAGCAAATTAGACTGCTCTTACTCTACAGAATGCATCTTTCTAACTTTGCTCATTCTGTCTCAAAACATGGATGTGTCAGTACTCACCAAGGACACAACTAGTGGGAATCAGGGAGAGATGCAGAATAAAGCTGGAAGGGGCTGTCTGTGTCTGTGAGTGACTAAGACAACTTCCTTGGGGTCTTTTAAACTTGCATTAGTTAACTTACAAAATATGCCTGACAGCAGCTGGAATTCAGCTGAATGCAGACAGTCCCATTGAGTTGTTAATGCTGCGTTCGGCATGTTAGGATTTGTTTTGGAATAAATACTCTAATGTATAATTTACTAGCTTGTTTTAGTCTGAAGAGTGAAAGTAAATTGAAACCTATCCTACCTTACTGGCTTCAGAAAGGTGCAGAAGCCAGGAAGGTGCAAAGAGTCAGAAAGGTGCAGGCAAATCCAAGCGCTGATTCCGTAGCAGCTCCTGATAAGATGTGTCAGCTGAGGTGTATTTAGCTCTGGTTCCTAGGCAATGATGGGGGAATGGAGAAGTGGCTTTGACTGTCTACTGTTTTTCCACATAATTGCTAAAAGATTTAACACATTTGGAGCATTTTTCCTTGTATTTCTAATTATTTTTGCCTTTGCTCCTTCTGTTTGGTTTGAAGCAGACTGTGTGTGTTAATAAGGAGACGTAAATACCTGTACAGAACTGTGCATTTAGATGCATTTTTCAAAAGAAAATGCTATAACCACACTAGTAGAAAACATAAACAAATATTTAGGCTCACAATTATGACCTGAAATATCCCTTTTCTGTTTACAAGCATAGCTTTTAAAGGAGAGGACATGTTGTGAGATTTATATCCTTAAATGAATTTTAAATTCCTATAAAAGTTAGTAGTTTGTGGCATTGATTCCTGGCTACTGGAAAGACAGCTTCCCACTCCATGAGCTCCCGCAGTAAAAGGGGTTGGCAGAGCCTTGGAAGCTATCCATGGAAGTTAGTGGCAGTTCCTGCTCTGCCAGGACCCTTTCACTGGGAAGCTCAATGTGAAAAGCCTTCTTATGCAGCCAGCA